TGAGCGGGAGCTACAACCTCCCAATATATATGCATGTAGTGGAGTTTTCAATTGAAAAGAAACTTTGTGTTCCCAACAAGCCAGGTGAAGGACGGCTTACAAACACAAATATCTCTCAGAACTGAGCATGTGAAGAGACTTTTGTTCATCTAGCACAAGGGAATAGGTTGCATGAGAAACACTTACTCTGGTTTCTCAGGCTGTTTCCTAGTGCCGGTTTGAAGTTCCTGCAGTTTTCACTGTAAACCCGGGTTGGAGCTAGTACTTCCCCTTATACATGTATGTAGTGGGGTTTCGAACTGAAAAGAAACCTTGTGTTCGCAACAACATAGGTAAAGGACGTCTTACACACAAACAATTCTCTCAGAAATGAGCATGTGAAGAGATATAATTTCATCTAGCAAAAAGGGAACCGGTCGCAAGAGAAATACGTACTTTCTTTTTTCAGTGTGTATTGTAGTGCCGGTTTGAAGTTCCTGCAGTTTTCACTGAAAAATAGTGTTGGAGATTGTACCTCTCCATATATATATAAGTAGTGGAGTTTCCATCAGAAAAGACACTTTGTGTTCCCAAAAGGCTAGGTGAAGGAAGGCTTTCACACACAATTATCTGACAGAAATTAGCATGTGGAGAGACGTTCCTTCATCTAGCAAAAATGGAACGGACTGCAGGAGAAACAATCAGTCTGGTTTCTCAGTCTGTTTCCTAGTGCCGGTTTGAAGTTCCTGCAGATTCCACTGTAAAACCGAGCTGGAGCATCTACCTCCCCATATATATGTATGCAGTGGAGTTTGCAACAGAAAAGAAAATTGGTGCTCCCAGCAAGCTAGGTGAAGGACGGCTTTCACACACACTTATCTCTCAGAACTGACCATGTGTAGGGACGTTCTTTCATCTAGCAGAAAGGGAACGGTTTGCAACAGAAATAATAATTCTGTTTTCCCAGTCTGTTTCCCAGTGCCGGTTTGAATTTCCTCCAGTTTTTAATATAAACACGGGTTTGAGATTGTACCTCCCCATATATATGTAGGCAGTGGGGTTTCCATTAGAAAGCACACTTTGTGATCACAACAAGCTAGTTGAAGGACGGAATTCACACACAATTTTCTCTCAGAAATAAGCATGTGGAGAGAAGTTCGTTCATATAGCACAAAGGGAACGGATTGCAGGAGAAATAATTACTCTGTTTTCTCAGTCTATTTCCTATTGCTGGTTTGAAGATCCTGCTGTTTGCACAGTAAAACCGTGCTGGAGTTAGTACCTACTGATATATATGTAGTTACTGTGGTTTCC